GAGGTTCTCCCAACGGCAATTTACGGAAATGCGTCAACAACGATCTACACGATCGCATCAGCAGCAGCACCGGATACTTACTGCACAGCTCCACAGCCAATTCAACACTCCATGGCAATCCACCCTTCAAAAATATATATACTTTACAGTAAATACAAATGAACACAACTCAAACTAAAAATATTGAGCATCAAAGCATTTCAGTACTATTAATTTTCATTCGAAAATTGTCAGCGCTTCCCATAAAGGATCTATCTGCGAATTTTCGGCTTTCGTCCACTTTTGGCACGTCAACGTTCAGATTTCGTTGCACTGAATATATTTTTTTAGTTTTTGTTACAGGTAGACTCTCCCTTTGCAACGAGTTTCTCTGTAGAAAGAGATTTTTTCGATTCATTGAGGTTCGATTCAAAGAATTTCCTTCTGGTTGCCTCAAATTTCATTGCACAGAGAATTCACCTTTATACAGTACTTCAATGAGATTTGTTCATCAGCATATCGATGGAATTTTTTACAGGACTTCGAACGCATTCGCAGCTTTAGAAATTTCGTTATAACAGAATCGAACTGCACTATATTCGGTCAATGGACTTTAGACACTAGATATATTACGCCTATTCACCAAAACACCAAAGCATAAAAAAAAAGAAAGAAAGGTGGCGAAGGTTTAGCGTGTTTTGGAGTTTGTTTACAAAAAATGGGTGCTTTTGCTACAATCAGAATGAAAAGCCGCTAATAGCCTTAGGAGTTTTGACTCAAGGAGAAGCCCCCAGTAAGAGCACTTCCCGACTTGAAGGAAAATGCCCAACACGATCCACAAGTAATTTTCCTGTCGAACATGCTCCAACATGTGATGGAACAGAGGGATTCTCCAGTGCGGCGGAATATCCTTCAGCGCAGCAACAAAAACGCGAACGATTCTCACCAACGTCGCATCCACTTCTTCTTCTCCGTGGCCCTAAACAAGGAGGAAACATTTCAGATCATCTCACGAACATTTTATTGAACACAGAACATGAAATCGAAAATTACGGAACTGCTGAATAAAATATTCGATCATCACGTACCTTCAGCAAAGCCGGGAAAATAGAAGCCATGGTCTGTTTCAAGATGTCGAACGAAAACGAATGATTCTGCAGAACATACGAGCACCCCACGAACGTGAAGATCGACATGACGTTGTGCAAAACGTGATCCTACGACAAGAAAAAGACGAAACACACACGTCAAACACCCCTGACGACAAAATAATATAGTTTTAGCTTCTTTTTTTTTTGGCGTCGGAAAAAAAAAAAAAAAAAAAAAAAACTTACGGGAAGCATTTGTGCGGCAAGACTCAACAACATCAAGGACTCGTTATGTACACCAGCATCGTTGGTTGAGTTTAGGCAAGTAACCAGAACTTGAACACGGAACTCCTCCTTGGTCACCTTTTGGCCGACCAATTGGCAGGATTCGCAGCACTTGGTCAACAGGCGGAGACAGAACTGCTTCGTGTACTCCAAACCAAATTTCGGACTCGCATGCAGAATTCTGAAAATAAGCCATCCAAAAATCTTACAGTAATTCCTATTTCAGCTCTGAAACATTTACAGAAAAGGAACACATTCAATTCTTTTAAATATCATCTCCAGATCTCGCTAAACTTTCTCCTCTAGAACTTTTAGTCAATTTTCTTCATTACATTGGCGAACATTACGAGGGTTGTTCCACTTGTGCGCGATCTTGTTAATATTTAGTGGAGGTAGGACTAAAAAAGAAATTAAAATATAACTCATGATGTTCTTAGTTTCCGGGATTTTCTTCGGATTAAAAAAAAAATCAATTCACAGTATGATGATAGGAGAAAACTTTCCAGTCACGGTCGGAGTTCCTCACCCATGTCACAGAGTGCTACAAAAATTTCAGGCCAGCTAAAATGCTGATAATGTGTTGCTCTTTTAATCATTGTCTTCTATACATTTCAGATGATGGTAAAAATGAAGAAATTTCGACTTTCACCATGAGCTACATCGTTATTATTTTTTACAGTGATACCTCCTCTAGAAATAACCAAGGTCGCGTCCAACCCTCGTAAACGAAGACAATCTGCTTCCGAGCGGGCAGAAAATGTCTCAAAAGCTCGTGAATACCGACAAACAAGGAACAACAACACATTAAAAGGTAAAAAAATGAAATTAAATAAAAGGAACTTACGCTTCCAGGCGTTGGAAGAGAACCGGAATCATGAGATGCGCATCGCTTAACTTGCTGCTCTTGATTCTAGAAAGCGCCTCCAACACCTTCTGGAACTTTACCCATTCTTCTTGTGAACATGGGTCCTCAGTTTTGCTCCGCCTGAAAGAAGAATGTACTCTCATCATGTGAAACAAAGAAAATATATGCTGAACGTTTCGATGGTGGCAAAAAATAAGATGAACTTCACTTATGATTTTTTTATGGTAGATAATTATTTTTGGGAGACGGAGATTTCAGCAACTGCCACGAATGTTGGACCAATCTAAAACAGCAGCACATTTTACCAAAACACCGGAGTTTACCCTCTAGGGAATTCCAGAAAAAAATGTACGATTATCTCAAATCTGAATCTGCTACCTTCTTTGTCAGAGTAAAGCTTGAGGTAACAGAGATTGGGCTTCATTTTGGTAACTTTTGGATTTAAAATGGTCAAGATGATGATAACATGAAACAAAAATACTGTATCATTTTAATGTTTTCGATGTCTAGTTTCCATTTCTCCTGACTTAAAATTTAGCCATCCATCGCTCGTCACTTTTGATACTTCGTGGTTTGAATTCTGTTTTCGGCGATTACTCTTTCAAAAGGGCCATAAAAATGCCATGGCAATCATAAAATTCCATTTAAAATTAAAAAGGATAGCAAATTTTAAAATGTTGTCATAAGTTCAAGTCATGGCACAGCTTTTGAAAATTATTGAAATACATTATTCTTGTTTGAAAATCAACCCAGGATTTTCTCGGCAACCCCGCAGAAGGAAATACTGTACTGTACTGTATTCAAGACGACTCAAGTCACCTCGTGTCACGATCCCATTTGATTTTCGATCCATCGTGAACAGGCATGGCCAAGAATTTGGAAGCGAGCTTTCCATCGGACAGAATGCGTTCCAAGGCATTCCGGCCACGCTTCCATGTCCTCGGGGCAGACATGGTGTCCCACGCGGATACCAGTTCCTCGAGTATTTCTTCTTGTTGTTGGCTACTATTACGCGTTTTCTTAAGGAAGCTTTAGATATTTAATGTTCGTGACCGTAATTGAGTTGCTAATACTCTACTTTTTGCAACTAATACGCCACTTTTTGCAGCTACATATAGTTACTTACGAATCAAAGTAATAAATTTTATAAATACAGTGCTTCGTTCGTTATTGGAATCACTCTTGAGGAAAATCAAATGACCACTTGATCTTCCTTCGGAACGAATAGAGCAGAGACGACCGCCTAGTCGAGTGGCGCCCAATTTTTTTTGCTCCCAGAGGATAAGTCCCCAACAAAAAGGGTCCCGGGAGAAGAGGTCCAAGGAACGGGGAATAAAAGGTACCCGAAACAAACAAACAAAAATTATCATAGGTAGGCGGGACCAACAGGTGAGAGAGTGATGGTCAGTTGATGCACAGAGACTGGACAAGTCTAACACTTATGGATACTGTATATTGTATTCCTTAGAAATATTGGTTATAAATATTGCATTCCTTGAAAATATATATTAGAATACTATGTTTCTGCTACAGTGTTGTTCTTAAATATCTGAAAATTGCATAAATATTTTTTTTTTAATTAACGCTCATCAGTCTACAATGGCGCTTCTTCCTGCTGTAAATACTGTATAATTGTATATAAATACAAGCTTTCAAAACACATATCAAGCAAGAATAACCATCACTTCCTCCCCAATGGGCCCCGTTGACCTATCCACCTTCCCCCCCCCCCCCCCCCCCC